ACTGTCACAATGTTCTGTCTTACTGTCACACTGTTCTGTCTGACTGTCACACTGTTCTGTCTAACTGTCACAATGTTCTGTCTGACTGTCACAATGTTCTGTCTAACTGTCACAATGTTCTGTCTGACTGTCACACTGTTCTGTCTTACTGTCACAATGTTCTGTCTGACCTTCACACTGTTCTGTCTAACTGTCACAATGTTCTGTCTTACTGTCACAATGTTCTGTCTGACTGCCACAATGTTCTGTCTGAATGTCACAATGTTCTGTCTGACTGTCACACTGTTCTGTCTGACTGTCACAATGTTCTGTCTGACTGTCACACTGTTCTGTCTGACTGTCACACTGTTCTGTCTGACTGTCACACTGTTCTGTCTGACTGTCACAATGTTCTGTCTGACTGTCACAATGTTCTGTCTGACCTTCACACTGTTCTGTCTGACTGTCACACTGTTCTGTCTGACTGTCACACTGTTCTGTCTGTCTAACTGACACAATGTTCTGTCTGACTGTCACACTGTTCTGTCTGACTGTCACACTTTTTCTGTCTGACTGTCACACTGTTCTGTATGACTGTTACACTGTTCTTCCTGTCATTGTCCTGTCCTTCCTTTTTTCTCCGTTGTTCTCTCGTCTGTTCTCTCATCTCGCAATTCTCACATATGAAAGAAGTGTTTCAAAATCCGGCCATGGCCGCTGACATGAATGTAACCGAAGTTATTTATTATTTTCTCCCTCTGAAGCACTGTGTTATGATTTTGATTGCATTTAATACATCTATCGAACGATAAAAACGAAGGAGTATGTTAATGATTTAAAAAAAAAAAAGAAAAGATCTCGGCTCTGTTATTATTCTTATTTTTCCAACATATGTTTCGATAATTCTGAACCAAATCCAGTTCGATATAATGAAAAACACTTTGATTTCTCGATACTGATAAACGAAGGTAACAACATCTCTATAACGTTTGGTTCGACATTTTATGTCGATGCGTATGCGTAGCATGTCTCAACTCTGTCCCCACTGAAACCAAAACAGATGATTCACAAAAAACTCTCAGTAATAACTCGACACTGACATCGACAAAAAAAAGATAAAAGATTTCAAACACGTTGATATCTTTTAAGGAACGATGTTTACTGTGGTGTGTTAGATTTGAGTTTGACCTTAAATAAGCTGACCACAATGGACAGCTGTTACAATGACGCAAGACTTGGATAATTTTTTACCGTTTTTTCGTTTGATATTTGATTTTGTAAATAAAAAAAACTTTTTAAACGGGCTATTTAGTCAAGTATTTTTTCTAGTTACAAATTCATCCGTAAAAATATAGTTCTATAATCCTTATATTGATACAAGCACGTGTTTTCCATCGGTTTTTTATCAATTATATGGGAAATCCTAATCGTCTGTACAGACACGATACATGCAAATAAGCAAGCCGCCTATGCACACTTTGATCTGTGAGCATGCGCAAACGCGTCTGAAAAAAACTAAACAAAAATGGCTTCCCAGCCGAAGCGTGTTCGTGGCAAACGGGTCACGTCATCGCACACAAAACGTAGAAAAGGCGAGTGGCAGAAAGATCACCTTCGAATAACAATAGGAGAGCAGTAGGAGAGGTGGGACAAGTTCAAGAAAGAAAACTTTTTTCCAAAGTAATGAAGAAGTTGTGAAGACTCTCCTAGACTGTTGGCAAAGACGTATATAACATATACGTCTCTGCTGTTGGTAAGTGATAAGACATCATCGTTGGTGATATTTTTTGTATGTCAGACCGTGTCTGGCCGATTTAAACCATCAAATAACAATTCACCGTGAATTTTAGTATTTTTTATATGTTTCACAAAGGTTTACCACGCAATTTCTTTCATGGTTTCCTTACGAAAGGAGTTAACGCGAAATCAGACTCAGCGTTTCGTCACTTGATGCCTCCATATCACGTGCATTTGTTTACAAACACTCTTCTTTCCGCCAGAGGGCGCAGCGTTTCGTGCTATATTTGGATTATCACCTTTTTTGGCGGGGGCTACCCCAGATTTTAAACTGACCACACTGGACATTGACTACGTAGGAGAAAACGATTATGTACAGATTTGTCAGTCTGAACACATATATTTTCATTTCCAGCTGAATAGAAAAAAAGTTGCTTGACTAAATAGCCACTTTAAGAACTCTGTGAACTTGGTCCTGTCCATAAGATTATACTACAGATACACAAGTCAATAGCACTTTTATACAAATTTAGATACGTAGAGAACATTACTTTAAAAAAATGAAAAAAATGAATCATTATACTTACCATAAAGTAACAAAGTATCCCAATTTTGTTAGAGGTTACAAGTGTTTTTTATCATCAAAATGATAAACATTTTAATAATGGCCCAGAAACCTTCTAAAATAACATGGCCGACTTCTTTGCAAATCGGATCGATATCTAGAATTTAACTTCTATTTCTGAAACGAAGTAAACCTGATATAATACTAGTTCTTATACGATGTGTGATTTGTCTCACATGTGGATATTCTCAAGTCGCAAGAGTTTAGACAAAGTCCTCATATATAAATCAGAAACCAATCTGCTCTAAGACACAGAGGACGTATGTCCAGTAGCTAAAGTATTTGACATCATTATCCATACAACGATACACATATCTGTCCGTTTATATTTGTGAATGTGTATTTTCGTTTGCTCTGTGACGTGCCCTCTACTAATAACGTATTCATGTCCGTCCTCTTGAAAGAGCGTTATCATGTTCTCGTGAAACATGGTAAATCATGTCCTCGTGAAACCTGGTAAATCATGTCCTCGTGAAACCTGGTAAATCATGTTCTCGTGAAACCTGGTAAATCATGTCCTCGTGAAACCTGGTAAATCATGTCCTCGTGAAACCTGGTAAATCATGTCCTCGTGAAACCTGGTAAATCATGTTCTCGTGAAACCTGGTAAATCATGTCCTCGTGAAACCTGGTAAATCATGTCCTCGTGAAACCTGGTAAATCTTGTCTTCGTGAAAACAGGATACCAAATGTCCTAGATGAAACAAATGTGTTTAAGATTGTTTTCGAAATTCTTTTAAAATTGATTTTAAGTGGTTTTGCGACATTTAATCAGCTTGTTCAACTATTTCACGTCGTGTTTGTGATTAGGTCTATAAATCGTATTTTAAGATATGGGCTGCTGCTTCTGTACATTTAGAACATGAACTATATTAGTTTCTAAATTATTTAAGTCGAATGATCGAGAGAACATCTCAGGTTTTTTACTTATTCTCTAGACTCGACCGCTTTCCTTATTATCTCGAGCGCTCGACATGCCATCTCGATTTCAATAAAGAATATACACTTATTTCGAGATGAGTTGAGCGCTCGAAAAGTGAAGTCTACCATGAAATATTCGTTTCTGCTCTCCAGTTTTGAAATAAGTGAAAGTTCGTAAGTTCACTCTGTCTGTCTGTCTGTCTGTCTGTCTGTCTGTCTGTCTAGCTTCTGTCTAGCTGTCTGTCTTAATATTCGTTGATACCAATTTTAAATGATTGGCCGTTATTGTTATCGAAAACTTGAAGGAAAATACTTCGAGACAAAAAAATCGATATTTTGGTGTGTATCGTTTTTGCTTTGTTTTGTGTTGTCAGTTACATGTATACTAAAATGCACTTTGTATAATAGTTCACTTAGAAATTTACCTGGATGAGATGTACTTCCGGTAAACATTGAAAACTGAACTTCTGGTTACTGGTATGAAATGAATGATTTTCAAAACTGGATGATCTGTCGAAAGTTGAGTTTTCACAAGACCAAGGTAGATATTGTCTGCATCACATTAGTCAGAAAGACTGGATAATTACCTTTTCAACAAATGGCTTCAGGTAATTATATTTCCGTGACGTCCGATTGCCATGAAATCAGTTTCTTTTTCTCACAGGTATACGTTCGACTGGGACACGTACATAACATTAAAAACAAACAAATAAAAATTTGATAACAATCTGTTGTAATAACATCAAATATATAAGTATGTAATTAATTGACATGCCACGGACAGTTACATTCTGAATTAATTTATTCAAAGTGTTCCGCATGACAGTTGGAAATAAGGACCAATGTGTTTTGCACAGGCGCCAGTTACAAAATATAACAAATATTATGTTTTTATTAACAAGTTTTTAAGTGAGTATATGAAAGTCATTTTATTAATTTTATTTTATTCTATGTCCCTGAGGGTACCAACTGATGCATGTCTTATATAACATAGATGGCGCTATCGCCGAAATTTTATCACAGATGATACACATCATGGAACAGCCTCGCCAATATTTGATAGATTAATGTTTGATATAATTTTATTTCTTTAAATCATTTATGAAATGTCCAGAATCTATACGTCTCTTTCATGTTGAACTTAGACACATTGTACAACGAAATTACACTCTCTTGACCTGCTATAATGCAACTGATCAACCATACTCATTCTGTATGACCAGTTACTTCTAAATGAAAAAGCATGACTGAAAATTCAATCTTATTTTCTAGTATTTTAAGAAGAGAGTTCAAGCATGAAAGTTCTAAAGATCAAGATTTCGTGTAAATTATATTCAAGACATTGTTAATTAATTATGGACCACCTTTATTATCGCCATGGATAACCTAGTTGAAGATCTCTAAATCAAAATATATGTGATTTGATTGATTTAAAAACATCTTAATTAAATTTGAATATTGCTACATTTCATCTAAAATGATAATTTCTCTGTTCAGAAAGATAATTCTTTCTAGTTTTCAGATATCACATTACGCGCTGTGTTAGATTTCCACTTGTGGTTTACACCTTTGTCAATTTAACCGTAGACTGATTCATTGGACAAGAATTTCCGAGAAACACACACAAAAATAACTTTAATTATTTATAACTTATAACATGTTAAGCAGTTTCAGTCAGTACACTGAAGAAACAGATTTAAGACATACTGGCACATTTGAATCTAGCATCGAGCAATCATCAAGAGTACTGGACAATGGTAGGAGGTTGTAAACTCTGAAGGTGTCCGAGTGTATTGAAGGCCGGCTGTTCGGAAAGATGTGAGGAAGAAAGACTACCAAGACCTGTGGAGCCTTGGCAAACATACCATTCACTAAAGTTCGGTGGATGGGAATGAGATAAACCGGAAGTGATGCTAGGTGTTGAACCGGATGTAGAAAATGACGATGGTGGTGTGAATTGACTCCGATTTCCTGGTGATGTTGAATTATGTGACGTCACACTGGTCTTTGATAGTGGAGAACTACCTTGAATTTCACATTTTTCGTCATCAGAAAATTTTCCCTCGAAATCTGAACAATTTTCGTGAATTTTCATATGCTTTCTTAGTGAACTAGGATGTGTATAACTTTTTTCACATCCTTTAACCCGGCAGTTGTACGGCTTGTCACTAGTGTGCACGTGACTGTGCTTCTTCCGGTCGGAACTGTTCGCGAATCTCCGGTCACATCCATCATATTCACATACAAACGGTTTCTCTCCTGGAAAAGAAACAAACAATTAATATATTACATAAATTAAAAATACTCTGTTCTATCATTTTTTTTTTTTTTTTTTGTCTTTTGTTTTTGTATATATATTTGTTTTGTTTTGTTTTCTTTTGCTTTTTGTGGGGTTTTTTTATGTGATTCTCAGTATATTTATAACATTCAATGTAGCTATAGTTCAATAGAATAAATTTAATTACATGATGCGTTTCGTTGATAACTTAAAAAATTACTAATGCACACAAATAGATTATTATAATTAATTGACGCCGTTTTCAACCTCCGTTGTAATCGGCATACTAATTAACAACGCGTTGAGACAAGGTCATTCGTTAAATTGCTAAAAACCCCATCCTCATTCACCCAGAAACTTTCCGAAACTCTTGGCTGAGAGTTTGAATAAACTGCAGTGTACCTAGAATCATCGATCACTTTTCTGAGACATTCTAATCATGAACCCGGACGGTGGTAATGACGGTCACGCGAAATCCGGATCACACGTAATTTTAATACCTACACAGGTAATAATTATAGGTAATGTACGGATCGTCGGACTTGTTATAGAGATTTAAATAATCTAATATATCAGGTTGAATTATTTATAAACGACTTGATTGTTATAATTAATCAAATTGTATACATGTCGATTTCAGAATTAATCAAGTAATTCATCGCATACCAATTCCACAACTCTACATCGATTATCAGTCAGACGATTAAAATTATAGGATTATCTTTTTGATCTGAAAGCGTTAAGTTGGAACAACCAGACGTGAATATTGATTAGTCATATTTGCGATGAAGCAGACATTATTACAGACATTCAGAGATCTCTGAGTCATTGTATTTGTCAGCATACTCTAGATTCCGAGATATTTGTAAGAAACTTCATCTGGATGTGTTCGGATTAATGAGTTTGAATTTACTCAGTCAAATATTGTCATATTGTATTAGAGCTCTGTTCCCCCATACTTCTAAAACCTTAATGTGGAAGCCAGTTTACGGTTTCAACAACAGGGTAGTATCAATGGAAAATGTACAGTTGATCTTCCTTAATCCGAATATATTGATTTCCTGAAAGGTATCCTGTATAAGGACTTTGAATTCCATCCGTTGAAGCTTTCTTCACTGTCAACACTGATATATATATATATATGTATAGATTACATTGCAATTTGTTTGACACTACCCAAAACATTGAAAACCACTTAAAATATCCACTATATATATTTCTGTGAGTAAATTGCAGAGAGACATTTTTCCTGAAAGAGAGATACCAGGGGACGAACACCGCTGAATTGTCATACGTTTGAGCGTTTCATCTGACCGTAAGTTTTGTAAAGGTGTGATCTTCTATCACATTGGCCCCATAGCATAAGAAAATTAAAAATTATCTTTAAATGTTGTGTCAAAACGTCGGGAAAAGCAATAGCACAATACGTGACGTCATGTGTAAATGACGTCATGTTTGCATGTACCTTTCAAACTGTTCGCCATATTTATAGACAGCTCCAGGCAAATCTACTTTCTTTTGCTATCTTGTCAATCAAATATTACTGACAAATATAACAAAACCATTCTTGAAAAAAGTCAATAAAAGCATTGCTCTGGTTGGTCAATATAAAACATGTTATCTTCGGATTTTGTAATAAAACATTTGACCGTAATGTTAGAATCTTTAAGCTAATAATGGAGTTGGGTGTATTTACTGCGACATTACAATACTTATTTATCAGGACACATGAAACAACTATAATTGCCATATCGCTAATCACGGCCGGTATCAACCACATAGTTTTAAAAATAGCAAGGAGTTATCGTCGTTAAGATATTCGCGAGAATATATGAGAGGCCTCGAAGCCACTCGACCAATTCATTTGTTTGTAGAGACAGACAATGCCTTATTGGGGTTCTCCCAGGGGGGGAACTGGTCAATTTAAGATAACATGTTCAACAACATGACACTATAATCATATTAGTACTTTTTACAAGTCTTAAGTCGACTAAAATTGTTTATTATTAATCGTTATTGTAACGACAGTCAGTTATCATGTGAAAGGACATGGATATCATTATACTGCCGTCCGGATTTCCTTATCAACTTCAATCATTACGGCCAACTATGCAGATTTGTGAACTGCATGTCGTAAGTGGCCCGAAGTGGTGAAATGATTGCACTTCAGTCGTTTAGACCTCAAAAGTATTACATTTCCCAACTGTGTGTCCCTTTGATGACTCGGCTGACATATCCAGCATCAATTAAAACAAAGCATTGTTAGATTGGGATGTTGTACATGATAATAAGCAAAGAACGGTCTTTTTCGCCTGTTTTTTTTGTTTGTGTTGTATTCATTGAGGATGTGTTATAATCTCTAGAGATCAAATGGAGAATGAAAAATATAATATTTACATCTACTAGATTCACGAGTGACCAAAACACATAGAAATTTAAATAGCATCCGTATGTGCGTTCAGACATTAACTACAGTACGTCGTTTGTCTACACGAACGAACAAATGCTAATCCAATTAAACAGTAATTTCTATTTGCATGTAACACTTTAGATATAACCTAAAGCGTGCATATCGAACACAAGACGGAAACTTTCTCTAGGGCTGTTTCTACGGCGTCGAACTTGTGACGTTACAGACGTCCCGTATCGAGACGATGTGCATATGAGATAAATCACAATATCTAGAAAACAAACAAACAAACAAACTACGACGTCCGCTCTCTTTTTTATATTTTATTGTATACTATGAAACATTTATTGCTAAACTTAGTAAAACATTTAGGGTACACTCTAACTCCATCGCAATCGGCACCGAGTGAGATCATTTTATAAACAAAAAAGTAGCTCGTATCTCTGGTAATCGTTAAAACTATTGAATATAAATTTCAATTATTTCTTATCATTTGTTGTAACATCGAATTTAATATAAGAAAAAGATATTTCAACCAAATCCTCCGTTTTAACGATATCGCATACAGACAATTGAATACCTGGGGACAGAGTAGTTATTTAAACCAGCAGAACTTTAACGAGAGGAATTCTTTAACTGGTCTTGGGGCCAAACTTATACTTACGTATATAAAACTTATACATGAATATTTAAGAAATGTAAGTTTATGAAATGCACCTGTTTTTGATTTGTAAGTACATTATTACACAGCTAAGTGTACATCGGAATTGCTTGGTATAAATACATCTAATTTGTGTCTCGGTATATCATTATCATTGATAAGGAAGTATTAATGCTGAGGCAGACTGCCTAGCAGAACTTATCGGTATGTCTCGTCCGCGGGATCGACTGATACTATCTCTCTATCACTGTTAATCTGATACACTGCTAGTACTGCCTGACCGACTGGGAGGGCGGGAGTGGCCGGGACGGTGGTAGGTGACGGGACCGAATGGGAGAGTTGTAGTGGCGGGGGTCGGGGATGGGAACTGACTGGGAGGGTGGGAGTGGCCGGGACGGGGGTGTGTGACGGGACCAAATGGGAGTGGTGTAGGGGCGGGGGTCGGGGATGAGAACTGACTGGGAGGGTGGGAGTGGCCGGGACGGGGCTGAGTGACGGGACCGAATCGGAGAGTTGCAGTGGCGGGGTTGGGCGTCGGGGATGGGAACTGACTAGGAGGGTGAGAGTGGCCGGAACGGGGTTGGGAGAGGGGACCGAATGGTAGAGTTGTAGTGGCGGGGGCGGGGGTTGGGAATGGGAACTGACTGGGAGAGTGAGAGTGGCGGGGAAGGGGAGGGGCGACTAGGAGGGTTTCAGTAGCAGGGAAAGGGACGAGGGAGGGGGCGACTGGGAGGGTGGGGATGGCGAGGACGGGGGTAGGGATGTGGATCAGTGGAAGGGGATTCAGGACGAAGACAGTGCTGTTTTAAAGGGAAAATGTTGTAATATAGAATATCTATCTAAGTATTGGTGTCGTACGATTCCTAGAATATGTGGGAATACCGTAACGGGCATAATGGAAATGGTGAAAATAAGAGGCAGCATAGTGGAATGTGCATGCTGATGGAAGTATAGACATAGGAGGAACAATGCGGGGTTGGGTTGGGGAGAGGGTTGGAAGGGGAATCGGTGAAGGGATGGGGCGTTCAAGTCATATTATCAGAGATAGGTAAACACATATACAGGTAATGGACTAATTGACATGGTGTATTCCAAACCTGTCAGAAACTGTAAGTCATTAATGACTATTAATTAGTTCTCTGTATCCTTTCTGTGACTCAAGTTATATATGTACTTAGCACGACAAACATAGGACGAATCATGTTACAACTCCGATCCGTGGTAATGTACCGTCAGAGTTTAATGTTACTATCATATTGACTCGACTCCTGCGGTGACGACGCTAAAAGTACATGTACGAAACGGGTCGGCTTCTTATAAAAGTACGTACTTAAGATCTGATATTTAAATAAAGGTGATAAAAGTAAAAATACGCTCATTACATGTAACTTTCGAAAAGTGTATATTCTTTATTCTTGAGAATAACGGGAATTAAATGTTTGATATCGAGTGACGAATTATTGAAAAAAAGCACAGATTAAAAGATTACCGATATTCTATTGACTGTCATGACGTAAATCACTCCCTGTAATTGGTACGCCTTAAATTTGGTGTACATTGCTGCATGTCAATGCTACCAAAATTTCTTTGACTGTCATAATGTTAATCACTTTCTGTAATCGATGGGGCTTGAGTTTGGTGTACAAAAATCAAGACATTCAAACATTTCACAAGATATATGAAATACTAAATAAGGTTATATAGAATAAAATTGATTTAAGATGTGACTAACGTTTAAACAGATCCTTAATTATTCAAAAAAAAAAGAAATATGATGAACATAAAGTTTGAAAAACTTCTTCTGTTGTTGATGAACTTAACGTTGATCTGAACGTTAGCCATCCTGTACGTAATAACGGAAACTAAAGGCGAGTACGTGAAAAAACAAACCTGATGGCAAAAGAAACCGT